ATATTGAATTTTCGAAATAATGTTCCGTGTTTCTGATTTCGGTGGTGCTTTCAAGTTTTGCATAATGTTCTCAATATTTCGGGAAAATATCCTCGCACTATGTCATTTTAGAATAATGTAACTTCATTGCATTGTTTCTCGGACTTTTTGTGTCTATTATATCATTTTTTATCGTAGATCTGTAATAAAAAGAATAAATATGTAACATAAAAAAATCTGTTTCATAGCATGAATTAATAACGACATGCCTACGGTTTATTAAAAATTGATTATCATTTATTATATCTGATAAGTATTTTTTTTAAATAACAAAACAAAATTATTATTTAAAAGGCGAAAGATATGATCATGGAATTGCATGAAAATTTTATGCAAATTGATAACTATCAATCGCCACATCTCTCACGTTCTTAGCGTATATATTAATTTAAGCAACCGATTTATGAAAGTAATTTTTTATAAAGTCACGTGTTTATATTTGAAATATATCAGTGATAGAATAAGATAAACTTCAAATAAATAATACAAAGCGCGCGAAAATTCTGACTGCATGACTTTCCTCATACTGGGAAAAGTCTCAGTTACGAGAACGGATAACGGGAAAATTCCTTAACAAATTTGCGTTGCGCAATTCTCTCTTCGTCCTAGAATATCAGCGTATATTTTTTATCTTTATGCCAGGATTGTTATCATATCTCTGCAAGAAAAAATAAGCTTTACAGAAATTGCGAAATAGCGACATTATCAAATATCTGTAATTATAAAATTTAACACGAAAGGATTAAGGCGTATTTTCACAAACATACGCTTTCATAAAAAAAATCCAAAAGTGACATACTAGGACAAATAGCACTGCGAAAAGGCGAGGATAACTTCAATTTCAAGGAATATTTCTGAGAGAAAGAGAGATGCAAAACAAATGTAAAGAGTATTTTTTTATACTTTCTGCAGAAGATAAAATATTCTTTAGAAAAGCAGTTGCTGAGATTTTCTTTTGTCGCCTGTAACACCTTTATGTTAAATAAAACTGCATGAGAACTTGGAATTCCCTAGTAAAGCTGACTTTGAAGCCCGACTTTTACCTCGACGAAAATTAGATGAAGAAAATCCTTATATGTTACTAATTTTCAATATTAACCGCTTTAGCAAATAATAAGCAGAGTGAAAGTTTGTGTTTTAAAGAAGCGCGCTTAAAATTAACTTAGAGATACGATTTTGTTATCTGCTCGTACTTTTCAAATTTACTTTGACGAAATGATTTCAATATTAAACTTCACGTTTTGCATTTACAGATTACGATATTTCCGATATTATAAATATCAATATTCGCCATAATATCCCATCATTTTTGTCACAATCTGTTCGAAGCAAATATTTGACTTCTGAGATGTGTAGCGCAATCATATTACATATTAATACTTATTGTATTAATATTCATATTCTCATAACAAGTATTATGTATTTCATACATGATTCGCGACGCTGCGATCGATATGACAAAGTATTACGCTCTTTCTTAAGCCGATTGACTTTAGAGCCGATGTTTGATTCATAAAAATAGTTTTGTCCCGTACGTTTAATTGAAACACGGAATTGCCCCTTTCTCTTCCCTCTTTAACTTTTACTCCGTAAATCGATGCTAGTTAACGGCTGCATTTGCCGATTGAGCTACCAATAATAGATATTTTCCTACCGATTAACGCCGATATATGAAACATACACACTCATACGCGCACACACATATATATATATATCTCTTTTTTTGTTCCTATGTAGATGATATGTAAGAAATGGAAGATTCGTATTTCCGACGCGCCTTGCTTTTTGCGCGTCGGGACGAAATTTAGGCTGTGTATCAACGAGGTGCTTACTAACTATCTCATGATGTGTTGACGATTTATCATCGGATAATCACGTTTATGTGTATAATAATCGTAAGTCGCAAATGGACTCTGAAATATTTCAAGTTATATTTCACGTCTACATTTTTCGGGGAAATATAATTACATAAAACTAGAAACTCTGACTCACTATAAATGATTATTTCCCGCGTCGATTAATTTTAACTGACAGTCAAAACTTGCCGACAAAATTGCTGACATGAAAAATGAAATTTTGTCAACGAAAAAAAAAAAAAAGTTAAAAATTTGTTCTCCTTCGATGACGATATTTCATGTTAGCAATTTTTGTCGACAAGTTTTTTACCATCGGTTAAAGTTAATCGACGCTGGAAATAGTCACCGTACATGTAACAAGTCAGTAAACGAATTATGTCAGCGTGAATGGTTTGTGATATGTTTTAGTATTTTTTTTAGATATACAAAAATAGAATGTAGGATATATTTATGAATTTAGAAACTAATAATACATTTCGAAGCAAGACTTTCGAAAGAGTCGCGAATACCTGCGTAAACCCGTCCCAAAGGACGTTTCCTCACTCGAGGCATCCGGTACGAGTGATATCAATTTCAGATCAAAGCGGAGAAATTCGATTGTTCGTACACAAACGCGCGCGCGCGCGTTGTATCACATACGATTTTGAGTGCGATTGCAGAGAGCGAGCTGACGAGGCGGTGTGAACACGCCGGTGCTGCGGCCTTATCACTGCTAGAAACACGAAAATGAAATTTCCCACCCAAATTCCTGATACTTGATTAAATTTCTTTCATCATTAAAGCAACTGTCTGCTCGTATAACTTTTACAATGCGCGCGCGCGCGCAGCGAATTAAGTCGCGCGGGCTCAATTTGCTGAAATACTTCAGAGCGCATTTCGCTTGTAGATATGTATAGAGTTCTCGCCAAAATCGCTGTGATTTCGCTGTGATGTTGAAATCGATTGTACCCACAAGCTCGCGGGAGAATCTATTCGCCGTTCCGCACGAATCCGAAACTGAATTCCAACGTGGAATTTATGACGCGGCGATGCATGCTTAATCTTCCCTGCTTTCTACCTAATTCTCTTTATTTCTAACAACCGCCCTTTCCCTTATATTAATTCATATAGAACACCCTGTACACACGGCACATGTATGCATATGCAAATACAATGAACGCTTGAATCACGAGCAAACCTATTACTAGCTTTCAGAAATGGTCGACCCTTTAGAGTCTTATAGCCTAATCCTCAGTTAGCCGCGCGCCGCGGTAAACGCGCGCATTCGCCTCCACTCGAAAATATAATTTACTTTTGCGAAAATTTATATCTCTCATTTAACGAATAGAGCATTCAACGAACTAACGCACGGCCGATCTCGCATTCGCACAGACAGATTTGGACCGATGGCGATTAATTAGATGAAATCAAACGGTACCGCTAATCGCGCTACAGTTGCGTCGCGTCAAAGCTGAAGGCCTCGACAAACGCAAAAAAGAGAGACATATCGGGTGGATCGGCTTAATCTAGAATCCGCCTCCTCTTGATTATGCTGCGGAAACGAGGGACCGTTTTTCTCCTTCTCTGCCGCCTTAATCCTTAGATAAAGCTAAAGTCGCTGTCGCGACCGTCGGGTCGCAGGTTGCAAGTTGCACGGTGCCTTAACACTTAAAAGCCTACGGCTAAAACCTTGTCTCGTGCGCGACGTCACACGTATAATCTGGATACAATATATATAGTATATAATTATATTTATATTCATATATCTATATATATGTACATCTCACTTAACAATAATGCGTATGTATATATGTATATTTCTGGTTTTGCTCTTTCGTTTTGTTTTTCGACGCGCGCGTCGAAGGAGCGCATTCCTAAACGCGGCGACGTCGCAGTTTTCTCGCACGGCTTTCCCCTACGATTTCAACCGCTGAAATCCTGCCCCCCGTTTTACTCCGACATAACGATTCGACATTCAACATTTCCACTCGAGCTCGCCCTCTTCACTCATCCAGCTTTTATTATCGTCTCGAGTGTAAAACTCCATTCGAACGTAAGCTGTTATATTTTACGAGCTGACCTGCCTCCTTTTCTTCTCGCAATATTATCGTTGTTCCTGTAGATGTTCGATCTCATTCGAAGGACTCGTAAAGGGACGAAAAAAATTCACACTTTCTTTCTAGTGAATAATCTCCGTTAGATTTGTACGTCAAAATTTTTCCGCGACTTTGAAACTCGCCGAACTTCTTCAGATTTCGCGATGGCGAAATTTTAATGCAAGAAGATTGATTTGTTTTATATTTATTAACACACCGAGCGCCGATTATTTCATTGTGCGAATTATGTACCGGTATTATTAATCATTATATTCGCATATCATATATATTTTACGATGTTATTTAAGGAGAAATCAATGCAATATATAAGCATATATGTATATTGCTGAACTATTGGTAATTCATGCAAATCACCGATTGGTTCTAAAATTGTTAAATATGCAATTAAATTCAAGACATAATTTGTTAATCGTTTAATGCATGTTAATGTATGACGTAGTAATTGTGTGCATGTATGTAACTGTGTGTTAGAAATGAAGTTCTAACTTTCTATTTAGTTTCTGTTTAGTTCTGTTCGAAACATTGCCGAATAGAGAATGTCAATCTCAGATAAAATTATAATGCTAAAATTTTGCAGAGATCAACTGATTAAATTCTTAAATTAGAATTAGAATTGTTAATTTTTATCGAAATTCATGTTGACGATATTCCAATCTTGTTGCGAAATGGGTATTAAATAATTGATTAAAAATAATCTATGTATGCGGGATTTTTATTTCACTAATTGCATATACAAAAAACATAAACGAGGCTTATAAAATGATTCTAATTAAAATTCTTTATTAAAAGAAGCAATGACACATCGTTATTGACTATTTCTGAACATAAATGTTGACGAATTTATGAGTTTGTTTAACCCTCAAAAAATATCCAAGTAAATTAATGAAAATTTATTAAATATACGCAAATTGTATAAGTTTCTATATATAGAATTATAATAAATCAATAATTTATTTATAGAAACAGTGACGAAAAAAATCTCATAAAAACAAATTAGTTCTCAATATTTATAAATAAAAAAATAACATGCTAAAAAAATCTTTATAAATGTAAAGTAGATAGTATTTAATGAGAAGCTCATAAAACAAAATGATAAATAACCGTTTGATGACTAATAATACACAGATATAATACACACTGCATCGTTTAATTAATTATGAATGAAACTTTCAGCTTCGTACTTATGCATGTCCGCCATAAATCGCACGACGAGTTCCTGAATGGACTCCTCCTGATATTTTTTTCGTTCCTTTCCGCGAGCGCGTTTTATCGCGACACATGTAAGCATTAATAACGATCTTTGCATTCAATTTAAAATCGCTTTGCGGGCGATAAAAAAGAAGCAACGCATAACTCGCTTAGACACTAACGGCTATGACATTTGTACTATTCCGCCGAAATTTACGACGCGCTTTTATTCAGATTCTCATTGCCGCCGGCCGAGAGCTGGGCGTCCAAGTGCGGTTACGTCTCAATAAAATGTTAAACGCGAATGCGCGAGAGCCTTAATGCGCCTTCACATTGCTCGTAACCTTCAAATTCCGGCGCATTTGCATCGGGAACCACTTACCTCCGCGATCTTATCGCGAGATGGAAGTTCGAAGCGTCGTCAGTAATAAAACGGATAAACCCGGGCAATTGATTTTGGATCTCCCCATCGTCCGCGCCTCCACCCTCTTTCCACCCTCGTCGACGTTCTCGACTCGAGACTCGCGGCTTAATGCGCGTCGACGAAATCACCAGGCGCACGGCGTACTTGAAACTTTTCTCGAACGAAATTAGCCCCGGAGTTTTGCGCCGGACATCACGTTTCGTCACGCGCCGTGAAATTTCGTATCTATCGCGAGGAGCACAGCGAGGAAGGGGTGTTGTCAAACTTTCTCGACGCGATGATAAGCGACGATTGAATTCGTTCAATTCCGCACAAGCAGCGTGCATCTTTCCGTAAACGGTTTTGAAGATTCGCGCGGGCGCGTCCCTCTTTTGTTTCCTTTTTCCGATCTGAAAACCGGGCCAAGTGCGCACCGGGTCTTATCCGCTTTCCTCGAAAGATACTCTTAAGCCTCGCGGAACACGATATACTCTGCTTCATCTCTTTCAACACGCAGACTTCTCGGTTACGACGAGAAAGCTTTCGGGGCCGGGCGCTTCGCTGAGACAGCACGAGAAAGCTACGGATTCCGCGAAAACAAGCGGACGGACACAACAATGCTGTAATTCGCTCCGATAAGGATTACTGATATGAGTGCCGTCCATTTCGCTCCACACAGTACCGCGATACGTTCCGTACGAATGCAATTTCAGTTACGTAACCGTCTCGGCCGGCTCGCTTGTGTGCGATCGGGTCAATTGGATCAATGGGCAGCGAGCTGAGTTCCAGATCGCTCTAATTGCTGGGAAATTGAAAGTCTCGCGCGGAAACTATCGATTTCACTTTCCACCGCGTTGCCGCTACTCAATGGCTCTCTCTCACTCGATTTCGAAAATCACGTATTTGTTGTTGTTATCGTAGACAGGTATATAGCTTTACGGCGATTCATCGCGCGGTGAATTATGAGGAGAGCGAAATGAAGTACTTTGCGAAGTATCGAAGACGCCGGATAATAATTCAATTTCCTATATGTACACGGAATACTTTATTATCGTGACGGTCCCGAGTCATTTTAATTAGTTGAAAATTGAAAATTTTGCGACCGCAAATTTCATTGTTGCGCTCCGCTTCATGGCTCGCCCTGTTTGCTTTCGGAATTTATTAATCTTCTATTCCCCCGGGTCACTTTATGACCACTCATTGTGTAATGAATTATGGAGAGCAGAGCGAAATTTCTTACAAAGTCGTTGAGCAGTTAGATGAAGATGTAACTTTTCGTGCGGGACACATCGGTTATCTCGCCGGTAATTCTTTCCACGCTGACTCTATTGTTCTTAAAATAAATGTTTATTGCGAAGAGACAATTTAGAGCCGACAGTTTGTGCGATGGTTACGACTAGCGGATTGCTATTATCTATTAGGTCTTCAAGTCGTTACAATATTTTCAAAATTAATTTAGTTTTTCTAGAATAGTGTTCACACTGGTCTCTGCATCTAGAGTGACTGCTAAAGATAAATGCTTTATCTGAAGAATGGAATCGCTTGTTCTAAACTTTTGTGACGTTCTAAGATTCATCCTAATTGTGTAAAGACTACTAATTTACTTATAATAAAATCGGTGCTTATTTTGGTTTGTTTCGTGACGTAATCGGCCACACATAAAAATCGATTATTCCTAAACTTTTCTAAAAAGTCCTTTCAAGAAAAATCGTTTATATCGGAAATGCAATATACAATTAACGATGAATCGTATTTCCAAGATTCCCAAATTTGCTGAAATATTCAATTATTATTCCGAAATCTCCTTCCTTCCTGCGAAATTACGCTTTGTCATCAATGTATTGTCAATATGCGCAGATACAACTAACGTGACCAGCTGATTTTGTCCTAGTTCAACATACGCATTTAAATTTTGCGCTACCGCCTTGACTTATAATCCAACGCGCAACTTCTCTCATTGGAAACGGCCGACGCTCGAGAATTTCTTTTTTTAACGCGTCTCTTTCGCGATCGACGGTGAAAATTGACGTGATACTAATCGCTCGCTCTACGCAACTCGCTGAATTCAGCGTTAATCGCGGTCTTTTAAGCGCGCCAGCCAATTTTCTTCCGCTGCGCACTCGCTATTTACCGTTCTCGTCATTTCCCTTCTGTCGCCTTCAGCTCTGAAATTGGTCTCGCATACACGATTTGGTCGTGCTAGACGATCGACTACGCTGCAAACTAGGAGATCAAATACGTTGCAAGATGTTGCGCCGGTCGCAGCTGCTTCCTTAGTAACGAGGGGATTGATCGCGCCACCGTTACAGAGCTTATCGTGACCCGTTACAAATATATATATATATTACCAAGTTTATTGCAGCACGCAATAGACCGAAATCTGATCTACGTTTAATCGTATCCCGTGCGAAGTTCAGTAAATCCCGAAATTGTAGCGCGCTCGATCATCAATTATATAAGCCATTAAATCTCGTGTGTTTACTGCGAGATGCTGCTGCGAGATCGAGGTAGCTTACCATCTGCATTTCCCACACCCGTGTCGAACAACGATTTACGATCGTCTGTTTAGTCTGTGCTACGAAATGGCTTTTTTTTTTTATGTCCAAGGTCGAATGAAGGATTCAGTTTCATATTTTCTTAACAATTATATCCGCTCTTGCGATTAAATAGCAACGATTCTTAGACAATCGGTCCGATGACTCGATGTTAGATCACATTGTCCTTAAAACTGCGATTCATTCAGAAATCGGTTACGAAATTGTGATATAAATTCACGATCGGACCGATCGAATCCAGAAATCGGTGAGAATCGTAAGAGACTCTGTACGAGACGGCGAATCAGAGATAGAATCGGAACCGGAAGCAGATCAATATTGAAGCTGCACGGAGGTGGAGTATGCCTAAGTGCGAATTGTCGAAATCGAATCCTATCGGCGCCGATCGTTCGACGGCTCCTTCGAATTTCTCGGACTCGACGCGAGTATCGCGTCGTCGTCGGTCGCGGATCGCGGCACGTAGATCGATCGGCTACCTCGAAGCGGCGCACCCCGGGACACGGAGCATCTGATTATCATTCGCAAACGTCGCGCTGTGCTACCTGGTGACATAACGACACAGTGAAAACGGACTCTAACTGCTGCTGCACGACGGTAGCATACGTTCTACGGCGACCTATCGATCTACGAATGGTTCACGACCGCTAATGCGACCTTGAAGCGTAAACAACGCTCGTTATAGGACCTGTTTGTTGGACGGTGGCGCCAGTGGAGCGTCTCTGTCCAGCCAGTTACCTGCCATCCGTGAAAAGGGTTTGTCGACATGGGTGATTAACCGCTTATATGAATCTATATACCGCCAGCACCGGAAGTAAGAGGATGGACACGATCGGTGAACCACGCAGCTTGCCCGCACCCGCAGAAACGCTTGACGCCATCGCGGTCTTGCACGCCTCGGGCGTGGGGTCTGCAACAGGAAGAACAAAACATTGCGAAATAAATGTAGGGCGAAAACGAGTAAACTATGGACAATTAATTAATTAGGATTGATTAAGAATATGCAAACATTCGAAATATAGTGCATTCTGGCATATTTCACAAATTAAGTCTCAGAAACGCAAATAATGGAAAAAATTTTATTTTTTTCTTTACTTTCAAGTAAACTTTGCTTCAATAGGATTTTTAATTAAATTGCAAAAATCTTTAATAAATGGAATTTTCTGTAAAAAAAATTTGGTTCTGCGGAGAAATTCAGTGTCGTAAATTCGAAATTTTAATGTTGCAGATTCTTTGAAAATTAAAAACAGATGAATAACGTGATTTCCCCTACTTTATAGTTAGTAATAAAATTTACTTCATATTATAGTACAGTAGGTATAATAGATAACATGCAAAAGTGGAAAACTAACTCCATCATCTAAAATTTTTCTCTTCCGCATGACATAAAGTGAGATGGAATAGAGAAGAATGAAGAACGGTATAAATTTCTTCTATGGCTTTCACTTCAGGCATATGAAATTTAAGCAACTTTTTCTCTTTTTCATAGGATTAATGTAAAATATAAGATGTGCTATTATAGCATTACACATTTTGTATTCATTGAAATGTTGTATATGTGTAAAAATAAAAAAAAAAGAATATTTCTTTAATGAAAAATTATCTTCATTACTGCTGTTGACTACCCCTTCTTTATGTTTCTTTTTTTTAAATATTGTTTTTGATAATATTTTTGTGATATTTTAGATGTTATCTCGCATTACAATGTATTATCATCAAAAAAAAGAAATTCAAGACTCAAGTTATTTAATAATGTAAAGTATTGAGATGGTACGTGCCAAAAACATCGCAACACGATGATAGAATAAAATCCAATAATCTGTATTTCGTTTGGCCTCGTTATGTATTACATACTATGTATCAATATGCTATGTTAAATAAAATTATATAAACTTTATCGAAATTATTTGTATTACACATTTTCTGACGTAATATTTAATAATTACAATAATTATATTATAATCTTTAATAATGTAATAATTAATAAACCTGTATCTCATAATCACCTCATAAGAATCACTCGATTAAATAAAAATAAGGTTGTAATAGTGTAGCCCCATCGGTTCCCGAAAGGGACTTTGCGTTTACAAACATCTAAGGTCCTTATCGGGTGTACTAATCAGGACCCGATCACGAAGTGAGACTTGCCTGATCAGTTCCTTATCGAAGCCTTATTAATATTTCCGCTCGGAACACTAAAGGCATTCCTGAGAGGGTCCTTATCAAATCCGGACCAAAATAACCTCGTTAACTGGTAATAAGGAAAAAGTTCATTCGGTCCTGTTCAGGCCCTATTCGGGCCAACCCTATTAGGATAGACTCGAAGAAAACCTTATCGGGGCCTCATAGTACATCGGGTATACTTCTACTCTGGTAAATATAAATCAACATTAAAAGATTAAAATAGATTAGCGATAAACTTTATAATAATATAGGAATTTTCTAGCAAATTTAATATTTTTTGTACAAATTTTTAACAATATCCAACAACGTCAAACTTAAATCGATCAGAAGTATCGAACAGTGTAAATACAATTTTTTTCTGATATTCTATTAGTACATATTACGATGTTGGATGAAAAAATATCAATAAAAGTTAAATATTAAAAAAGAAATATAAAATTGAATAAATATTAAAATGATCCCTCAATAAACGAATCATTTGAGAAATATTGCGAAATACGTAGAATATTATCTGTAGAATGATATTATTCAAACAGCACGCTTGTTTGCTGTTACAAAATCAAAATCAATAATGCTTTATACCGGATTCCACCCAATATAATTAAAATTGTAATGTATTACTATAAGTACGGTCATTACAGCGTTATTGTATAAGCGGAAACTTTCAATTACGCGTGATTTTCCATTATCACACAAGCGGTATTGAACAGAAAACTATTGGAAACGAGTACGTGCGCAATCGCTTGCCTCGTTTCGCGCAAACAATCGCTGCTGTTTAATCCGATATATTCCGGATAAACAGAAACATCGAACTTATTTGCAATAACAACCGGTCGAACCCGCGACTACTGATTTTCCCGAAATGCGCGAAACTCCTGTGCATAGCGCAATGTCAATCGCTGATATAATGAAATGGTCAACAGTGCTTGAAACGTAGGGCCACGTGGCCGATATCGATCGAATAATAACTGAATTATTTACCGCGCTAGCGTTAAGAGCATAGGAAATTGGTAGGAAGAATATTATCCGCGATCGCAATTTTGCATTTTCTTACGAGAAAATTAAAAAAATCGTACACTAGAATTTGAATTTGCCTTTAACGACACATTTTACCGTCGCACATATTACTAACGTAATAAAATATTTACGTAAGGAGAAATAGCATCAAGATATTCACGTAGCAATCTTGCGAAATCGCTTTGATCTTCTGTTTACTAAAATATTGGCACAGCTGCCATCAAAATTTATAACATAATAGTGCGACGTAATATTGCTATTGTGACACATTTTATGACAAGAATTCTCTTTTAACATTACGGTTATCGGAATTTCAAGGTCTTCGACATTTCTTTTTAAAAAATGATCCTGTAGAAAAAATGTGATAAAAGATATATTTTTTGATAGCAAAAAAAAATAAAATAAAAATTTATTTAATTTGAGATATGGATTTTTAACTAAAGCGAGAAAGAACGAAAACATAGTTTTAAATGTCTCAATTACTTTTATGCCACGTACATTTAAATCGAATTTCTTCCTTATGATACATTTGAAAGCATTCGTTTTATTGCGATTGTTGAGATACTGCGATTAAAATAATTTATTGCTCGAGATATATAGTATATTACATCAGATTATAGAGGAACATGGTATTCGCGTGACGATAAAAACGATCTTTTGCACGCTTCCGGTGAAAATTACCGCTAAGTAGGGCGTTGATTAATTTTGTATGAGATTAAGAATGTTATTGCAAATTCAATGTTATGAAATGAATTGCGGGAGTTTGAAGACCATTGACCGCGCGACATTATCAGTCGTAGTTCATAACAATCATGCTCGAATAAAAAGAGTTGTATACTCCGATATAAAAACGCGACGAGCGCTAAGCGTGTTCGTAGAATAAAAAGAAAAGATGGAAAGAACGCGTGACGAGTGTGCAGTCCTCGTCGCAACACTATATCCCGTGTAATCATAACGAGCACATCTCATCAAGGACGGAAATGTCTAGACAAAGCACACGGATGAGTACAACACTCGTCACGTGTAGAAACGCTGAAGTGGTTGCGCCACGAATGCGAAGGCGCTCAATGAGTCAAGGACTAATTAGTCCGCGCCGTGCGACATGCGGGGTTTATAGCGGGGAAAGAAAATCCCATCTCCGTCACGTACCTGGTATCCCCTTTAGTCGCGGCAGGAAGTCGTTCCAAAATGCGCAGGCTGTCGTGCGAGGACCTTTGCCGAAACCCTTCTTTTCCGCGTTCAGAATAAAGTACTCCGGATGTTCCTTGGTATAAGGCGGCCAGTCGGACTCGGACTGCGTTGGCTTCCTGAAAAATAATTCAAGAGGTAAAGGTGGTTGCGTCACTCGCAAATCGTGGGACGAGCGCCTAGGGACGAGAAGCAGCAATCGACAGGAAAGAGGCGGAGGGTGGTGGAGAGGCGAGGCGAAACGATAGAAAACGAAGAGTAACGAGGAGAAGAAGGCGCGGCAAGTTGGATGCAGAACTGTTCGACTTCAAACGGAATCGAGATAAAATCTCTGTCTCCGATAGAGGAAGCGCGACGGTTCTCTTTCGATAGAAGACGTCGGAAGTTGCGCGCAGGCACGGACATTTGTCGGGAGCGAGGTAAAAGGGAAATGCTGCGGTGAATTTTGTACGCTTGCTACTTTGCGATATTTACGAACGGTTGCGTCATTATTACAGTACGTATCGAGAAATCGGATCCTCCAAGATAGTGTTTTTCAAAACGTGTGCCACAGAATAGCATACCTAGTGTCCCAGAAATATGCTTCAAATGACATTTTCACGAAGTATCTATAGAAAAGTGAAGTTTTCGATATTTTATTTCGATGATTTAAAAATAAGTTACACGAAAACCTTTTAAAAATATCGATTTATTAATTATATCTATTGAATAATAATTAAAATAGATAGACACTTTGAACGATCCGATTTCGCGCAAATTGGATTTAAAAACATCGGAATAATTGAACGTTTTATTCTGCCAACTTTCCATGTAACGGTTCTGCAATTTACAGTGACTTTTACATTAGCAAAATTCTGTAATTCGATTCTATTAAAGAAATATCTAGTTTAAAAACATGTGAAATATTCAAAAGTTATAAAAAAGTGATACCATTATTTGTTAAATCAAAAGAGATTAACTTTTCAACAAGTAAAAGAATTTTCTGTAATTCTGTATTTATTAATTTATTAATTTCAAAAATTCAAGATTATAGAAATCAAGTTTGACAATTTTATGCGCTTGCTTGGTATATTTTTAGACCTATCTTTCACACTGTATATTATATAATGGTAAAAGTAGACCTCAAATGTATCGCGCGTGAAGGCAATATGTCGATTGAACGTCAAAGGAAATAAAAAGCGTATCCTATCCACAGAGCGATACATCATAATAGTCTTAAATCTCGATAAATCTTGCAGAACAGGAAATCCCTCTTTTTTTCATCGACAGTTGATATATGGAAGCATATTCTTGATGAAAGTTGAGCAATCTTATTACTAACAAAAAATATAAAAGCTTTCCGCAACTTTCTATGTAAATAAGTTAGCTGATTTATTACTCAATATTTCATTAAAGTATAAATATCCAATTGTGCAATTAAATGTAAAATATTTTATGAATGTATTTAATTTAATGTATAATTATATATTACATAATTATATCGAGAGTGAAAATAAAATAAAATTAAAGGTATTAATTTTGTCTTCTATTTAATTTTACACATCGGGCTCGTAAAGTTTGATTAAATCCTCGGTGAATTTATGGTCTCTTCAAATGATAATTCGAGTATCTTTAATCAATTTGAATACCTCTCTCGCAACAATTGACTAAAGTCTATTGAATGAAAAGTGTTTAATGTAAAATTGTAAAAGATAAAATTTGCATCTACAGACATGTAAAATAGTACTAATCTTGAAAATTATCACTGAAATTATTTTTCTTAATATTTTTGAAACTAAGTTTTAAAGCTCTGATAATTGCAACTGTAACGACAATAAGTATAAATCGATATTTTTCTTATTTCAATAAAAATATTTAGAAAATTTATATAAATATGTTTGTAACAATATAATCATAAAAAAATTTTATAGAATCAAAATTTGATTACTATATTTTCAGCACACAATACGATGAGTAAAAACGTGAAATTTGTGTTGTAAATTTCTCTTTATACTTTTTATGCTTTTTATACTTATAACTAAGCCTGTAAAAATGATCCTTGTCCTAAGTACCCCGTGCGCGATATTAACATTTCTGTAGTAACAAATGAAAGTTTAGCTGTAAATGTGTTAGCGAGTTTCGAGCGCGAAATTACTCTTTTTCGCAGTTATAATTTGAATTTAAATTAACTTCGTTTCGCACATCAGCAAATTTGTCCGGACACGTTGGCTCCATGATGTATTTCAAGTTGCAATTTCATATTATATTAGACATTTTAACTATAGTATGTACAAATTTCGATTAAGTATTTCGCTAACTTTATGAAATATTTAATCGTTTATCGTTTATCGTGATTTTTCAAAATATGTGTAATTTATATTTAAAGCATATAAACAATTTCGAAGGTTGCAGTGTGTAATTAATCTTCGTACATCATTACCATATATAATGTAAAAAATTATGTTGCTTCAAAATCATATACACGTAACATTTTCAACTATAAAAAATGCAATAAAAATAAAGAATTTTTGTTAAAATTTTTGATATATAAAATAAATAAAATTTTGTTTATTCATTTTGTTCTACTTTTTTCTCATTTCTAGAATTTGAATAAAATCAATTTGTTTTTATTTTAATCTGTTAAACATTTTTATTTATAAGTTTTATCGGATATAATAAAACAAAATATCATTCATTGAAGTCAGTTTGCAGTGCATTTTTTGCACAGAAATATATCAAATATATGCATAAAATGACTATCAAAGTCGTCAGCAATCTGTTCAATGCCGAATCGGCATTTATATTTCAATCGAACATTGCCGAGCAAGTTGGGTAATCTTTACATTTGCATCTATGATTTGTGGCCTTTACTTCTTATAATCTAGTCGCCAATGAAGCGCGACATAGACATTGTCCTTGACAAAATTGATCCCGGCGTCCTCTTCACATGTCTAGTGCAATATCGTGACATTGCCGAGAATTTGTTAGCCTTCACATTTGCGCGAACCTTTTGCACCAATACTTTACATGAATCAATACATATACTTACTTTTACTTACGTCAATCAATATGTACACGATAATGTATGACTTACAGTACACGCGCGCAGTATATACTTACCCTGTGTACGCAAATCGCGAATAGTACAAAATCATTTCCAAAGCCAGTTCTCGCTCTTTGTCGGTGTATTTCAGCGACGAGTTCAGGGGATGCCCAAAGACGTATTCCACTTCGTCACCATGCATCACGCCCATCCATTCGCCCCACACATTCGTACTTGTTCTCTGCAACACAATGTATGTCCCGTCGTTAGCTCTTCGACTGTCATTACGCTAGAGATAACAGTGTGTTTATTACGGCATTTCTAACTCTCGAAATTAAAGATGCAAAATGTACTACATAGTTTTATACTTATGTTTCAAAGTTTTAAAAATATACTGCGACTATTGTATTTGACTTCTAAACAAATTTCGATTTTTATTTATTCATTTGTTGATATAAATTAATAATTTTCGAAATAAAATTAATTTTTTCTCTATAAAATGGGATTCAAAAAATAAGTAAAAATATTATTAATTAAAAATTTTTATAAAAAATATATATATATTCCATTCTTTTTTTTAATTAAATTAAAATGCTGAGGTGCGCGTATAAAATCCGTAGAAAACAGTACGGAAGGGTCGAGCTCCAAAACGTTCACGTTTGCAATAGCGTGATCAGCACGTCGGGACATATGATGGGATATCGATTTTAGGTCGATACAGATGCGTCCTGACTCCTCGCAGCTCTAACGACGACAGCCGAAATTGCGAGGAGCGGAAGCGAGCAACGCGAACGAGCGACAAAAGAAAAAAGAAAAGCGTGTACTTTCGCGGGAGCCATCGTCTAACCGGCGGGTAAAGCCGTTATTAAGATTACGGCTAGCGCGCATGAGTAATGACATCCTCTTTACTTTCAGCAGCGCACGCTTCTACCGCGCGCGCCGCCGCCTGATAAATTACCTTCTACGCTAATTGCTCGAGCCTTCGCGGCTCGAGCTACCGCGGCATTTCGCTTACGCGCGTTTCACGGTCCGCGGCTCGCAATGAAGACAGAGGGTAGCGTGAAGCGAGAAGACGGAAAGGAGAGGGTGGCGAAGAAAGAAAGAAAGAAAAAAAAAAAAAGGCAAAGTGAAAAGTGCAACGCGAAAGGTTGCGAGAGAGACGGCGAGGCGGGCGGAAGGAGCACGGAAGCGAGACGACGTGAGGAGGTGTACGCGCGAGAAATGTGGAAGCGGGAGAAAATAGAGTAGTGAAAAATAGGGAACGCGAGAAGTAAATGAGTGGGAAAGTGCAGTGGGAATGGGGATGAGACGCGAAGGGTGAAGGGCGACGTCAAGTGTAGGGAAGGAGTGACGCGATCAACGGCGCGGATTAGATAAAAGCGCTATTTTTCACGCAAACTTTGTTCGCGAGTTGACGATAGACGCGTCGCGGATGGTGCAACGAGGGAAAATATATACGGGCCGTTTTACAATTTGATACTTTCGAATAGACTACATGAGAGAAATCGCTCAGGTGAATTATTGTCAGCCGGGATTGATAAGCTAAAGCGTTTGGATTTTTCTCTCCTCGTTCGCATACTATTATCTCCCGTTTTGAACAATTTATCGCGTGACTCTGTTGTACCTTCACAATGCAATATTGTTTTATTCGTCAAAAACTTAGCCAAACGACATTTCATTACGAGTGAACCGCTTTGCGGTCGGCTGTCAGGCGATCGAGATTTGAGAACTAATGTTTGTAATTATTTAGTACATGCGAAATGATAGCCGCAACTGAAAGCGATATGATAATCAAGATAATTTCGAAATTGACAATGCAAACGCAAGCCCAAGTTTCCCTCGCTGAACTAAGATTCCCATTTGTAGTTTGACTTCAGTCGTCTGAATATTATTACATGTCCTGCTTTTGCCAAACTTCGTATTTAGTTCAAGGAACTTCTCTCGCAGCGGATCTGGGAACTGAAATTAAGTATGCATTTCGATAAAAATAGTGTTACAGCGCAAGATGTACCACCCTATTAAAAGTACTCTCCCCATATTTCTGAGCTCTATCTCCAGCGAATCTGCACCTGAGCAAAAATTAATTGCTAATTACTTACAATCTTTTCTCGAGATACCTTCTTCTATTAAATTTTTTTTCTCTGCTCCTTTTTGCTACTCTAATCCCCCCTCTCGTGAAACACACGTATTTTCGGGTTTGTTCGACGGTAAATTCTGTGCGGTTAGTTGCCGTGTCTCGCGAGAAAAACCCTCAAAATACAGATGATATTACAGTTACGTGAACAAGATATTCATTTTTCATTTATTTCCACTTGAAATATACACCTCGCGTAAACTTTTTGCTGTTTTCCAACAAGACCACTCCACGGCTACTAGGATGCTCGAGAGGGCGCAAAGCACGCGCCAAGCACACAAGTGGGATACATCGAGATCATGTTATCGTCAAATTGAATCGCGTTTCGCGATTGCCAGAATACGAAAGCATGGAGCGACTTGCAAAAACGATATAAACGTGCCAACGAACGTTTATTTATTATCGGCATTCGATCGAATGTTTCACTCGATTCACTACGCGATAAAACACATTGTGTTTTTACTACTACATTTCTTCCCAAATAAAAAAATTTAAATATAAGTTATTATTTTTCACATATTCTTTTAACAATTATTTTTTTCTAATGAAATGTTCTAAGAATCTAATCAATATTTTTCTACAATTTTATACAATGTATAATATAAATTATCCTTTTATATCGCATTCTACAAACTTTCTTACAAAATCTTTCGCTACAAAATTTCGTTAAATTCGTGCTTACTTCAAATGGATAACAAAATTTTTAACAGTTACATATCAATATTTTTATTTCGAGAAAACTGAACATTTGCCAAGTATATATTGAACTGTTTCACTCGCTTCGGTGCAAGTTTCTGAAGTTTGCTCAAATATTTCAGAAATGCCCTGTATATAATGCATTCATAAAATCTAGATCTATTAGGGCTTAGGGATCCGCCGATCGACAAACTTCGGATTCCAGGAATCCGCCAACTTTGGGAATGTAGAGTTCAGGTTTGAGTTATAATTCGTTCCAATCCAAGTTCAAGTTTTGGAACATATGAAGCAACTTTTCGGCTTGAACACTGCGATATCAGCTATCGCAAAGAATTCAATAACGCGGCACATGTAGTTTGAATTGAGACGTCCATGAGAAAGAAAGAGAACAAGGGAAACTCGGATTTCCTTGCGATTTCCGTTAAGCTGGATTTGGCATGTGGCCACAGACCACTTGTCACTGGATTCAGTGATAAGCCGTGCGTCGATTTCATCGATTTAAATGTTTCATCTATTTTTATTATCTGTATTATATATATGTATTATCTATATTCAATATAAATATAATTAAAAAATTTTTTTTAAATATTTACAAAAAAATTTACATGTTACGTGACATTTGTTGCATCAAAATTTATAGAAATAATAAAAATTATATAGGCAGCAACGAACGTGTTAACAAACATTCAAAAATTGCAAAAAAAGAACACGATCAAATCTTCGTGAGTGAAATTGTTTCGAAATTCAAATAGTGTTACTAACGCGCTACATTTTTTAGACAGCTCTCCACAATTATTGTGTTTAACAATCAACAAGTTTTTGACGGAAATGATTTTGTGTACGAGATAAACGCGATGAAGGGCCGGACATGACAGCATGAACTGCGGCGAACGCGATATTGTGTATAACGTTCGTGCACGCAGCGATATAACGTCCGTTCGCGTGAGTTTGCATTTCAAATAATTTCGGTGGTCACGAGGAGGCGAGGGGAGTAATTGTACAGCGTTATGAATGCGCACAATTTGCCGCATTCTGAATCTAAACGTTACACACTCCGATGACACACTGTTAGCGGTGTGTATTGTCTTCCGTTATGATTACAGCTCGCAAATGCGCGACGCCAACAAAACGGCGAAGTATATCACGCGATTCGTGTGTGATTGATAACACGGATATTTAGTTATTACGCGCTATCCAAATCTTCGCCACACACTTCATCGCGGCAGCAGGAACGCGCCCCGTGATTGATTAATGTTACAAAGCGAACACCGTGTGATTGAAAATTAACAGAACGTTGTCGCTTATATCAAGACAGTTGTTTTCACGATCACATCGCCGTTATATTCACTCATCTCTCTAATTCCGAAGGGTTTTCTCTTTCTTTCTTTCTTTTTTCTTTGCCCGTCTTTCCGTTTCGTCCCCTCGGCTATTTCCATCGTGAAATCTTCTTATTGCGTTATGCAAGCGGCTCAGAATCCAATTTACATAATACTTTTGCGGTAATTTCTCGGTCTTGTAAACTCTGTTCTTTCAGTTTACTTTGGGAGAAAAGCGGCACAAGCTCAGCACAACAATCACGCTGCGCCGAGCACATATAACGCAAAGATAATAACGTTGAAAGCGTTGATTTATCGATGCGCGCAGTAATTAAAATGCTTCAACACATTCGCGATTTAATACAATTTAGATATTCTCACCTCGTATAAATCATAACCGGTCGCCACGTAAGAACCTTAATAAATCAAAGCGCAAACGACTTTTCTTATTTGCCTCGTAAATTATGAGGATCAATTGTGTCACGAGTATCGTGATATAACTTTGAAGTATCGTGTAACGACGGTTTGTCGACTCGCCGCTGTTTCTCGATGACGTGTACAAACGCTGTCGATGACTAATGTCCATACTACTAAACCAGACGTGATAACAAAAGTAATCGCTTACCTGTGTGAAGAAGTAGTAGTAGACGTTCATACCGCGGGCCGCGAATAATTCCGCGAAATATGTGGATGGGCAGATGAAGAAATAATCCCCCACGACGTCCGCTATCGCTCTCTGATTCAAATAGCCATCCTTTATCCGATCCCAATCGGTATACTGAAACAGAAAACCATAAAATCCATTAGAGATTTATCAATTTAATCAATCGATTTAATTAAATTTAATCAATCAAAAGCTTGATCTTGAGCGACAAATTTAAATTCAGTTCTACTGCACCTCACAAAAAAAGAATTACGATTCCACAATTTTTCGACATATTATAAGAAATTTTAAAAATAAAAATTACAGATTTATCCAGCTTTTCTGTTTTAATAAGTAAAATTCATAAAAAAGCAAAATATAATGAGATTTTGTTCATTATTTTTTATTAGTCATGATTATATGTTTAAGCTTAATTAAATTTCGACTTTATAAAATAATTCTGTTTTTAAAAGAATTAATCTATCCGCGTTTTTAAAAACTTTTCTTTCTAAAACATTTTCAGTGTTTTAATTTTAATTAATATGTATTATAATGTAATATATATTTTTAATTTGATGATGTATCAAAACGCATTATTAAAATAAATTAAATTTTTAAAAATCTTTGAAAATAAAAATTACATAAAATAGAATAAATTATTAAAAATAAATTCCTATATAATGCGCAATATTTTGTTCATTACGCCTTTCTATTTTTCGTTGTGTTAACGATTTTTTAATTATGTAAAACACAACTAGGGATTAGACGACAACTTAGGAATTAAACGAAATTACATCGATGATGCTTGGATCACTTTGTATTGTATACATATTTACACTCAATTTTCCACCAATCGAAACGGTAAACAAGCGTGTGTTTTCACGAACTTATTCCGTTCAATCGTTCGCGCGTGTGCAGGATTAGCGATAAATTTATCAAAGACACAAGTTCTCCCGACGACCTTTATGTGCGCCGTATGTACCGTCGTAAACGGAAGACATCCTCGCCGATGTGCCTTGTTCCTGGCTACTTAATGAAATGTACACGGAACTCGAGGTTTCACGCAGCCATGAAACGCGGCCCTTGACAAAGCAACTTTGACGTGGCGTTCTGCTGATCGGAAAGTAATTAGCGGTCGGCTAGCAGAATGGAGCGCTTTGAAGAGTGACATTACCCGAGTACATAACAATATCGATTTTCCTCACGACCACAACCAGCTTGTCACGCACTAGAAAACTTGTTAGAAGTGTTGTGTTTATTAGATCTTCGATCTTTCTTATGGAATTTTGTTGCGAGAGCATGCGTTTTGTCATATTTAATTATTGTCCTATTCAATTTTATCCTATTAAATACATTAGTTAAACTAATTTTTTTTCTTTTAGAAAAATGAACACATTATGTAATATAAAGCTAATCGCTGTTTTTATTTAGAGTATATAATATCGTTAATCCTATTTTTAATACTAGATATTACGTGAAAAAATATACTTTATGTCCGTTCTTAACCAGTTGAGTGGTAGATTTTTCCGAAAGATTTGTGCCAAAAGCGGTAAGAGCCAAAAGTTAAAATATCAAAAAACGGTGAAACATGAGTTCAAAGTTTTCGAAAAAGCAACTTTTCGGAATGAGTGTGAATCCTCCTCCCCCCGCGCCCTGGGAGGCAAGGGGGGGGCAGAATAGGGGTGAAAAATGTTAAATGACACCATGGGTCGAGTGGGGATCATTTGAAAGGGCGTTTCAAAACAAGAACAATGATTTTTGAAAATGTTTATTACGACTTTCCAGTTCAAAAGTGGAAGTGGATCAAAAAAGGGAGGTGGACTTCCGAAAAGCGATCATCTCCGATTTGACTTATATTCAGCCTAAATACTTATTTTATCTAGTAAATAATATTCCCAAATGGATTTTTGGCGCAAATGCTTCCTCCGCCCCCAGCCCCCTTCAAAGGTTCAAAAATAAAACTGTTTTTGTTAATTATTTCAAAAAGTATTGATTGTACGAAAAAAGTTGTCAAACAAAAAATGAAGCTCATAAAAAGCTCTACAAATAAGGTGTTATACATATTTTACCTAACTCCAATATTTGAGTCGTTTTAACAATTAACAGTCGCCATATTGGATCCGCCATTTTGAATTTTGCAATTTTGACAACAGATTTGAATTCAGCAGCCCAAAAAACCTTAGGATATCAAGTTTGGTGCAAATCTGTTGAAAATTAGTGGAGTTATTTAGAAATGTACATATATGATACATTACCACGTTTGGCACTTTTTTCTTTGTACATATATGATACATTACCAATCAACTGGTTAAATTTTTATTCTCATAAATAAACGAGAAAATCAATATCTATATATTTATATCTAAATCTGAATTCAATGAAGTTATACGACTTTTAATGCATTACATAAACTAACTTTTTTAGAAATATCGAAATAGCGAAAAATATTCAATATAGAAAAATACAAAAAATTTAAGAACCTCTAAAATTATTGAAATTATTAGAAAACTGTCATTTTTTACATTATTATTGCCATATTATAATAGTCAATACAAAATAAGTAGCTCTTAAAATTTCAGACGGTGACTTTTATAATGTTATAAAATCATACATCTTTATTACATTAAACACATTGATTGTTTTCCTTTGTACTTATTTTAAAAGTTCTTTTATTGAATTAATGTAAGTTCTTTTATTGAAGAAAGAGAAATAACCTCGCATTATATCGTTGGAACTACCATCAAATGCGACTTTTCAAACACATTCCGGTTAATTACTAGCATTTGATGATCTTATTGTACTCTTTTATGTATAGCTTGTTCGTACCATAGTTTGAAAGAATGGCAGTTACGCGAATGAAAACGGCGATATGTGCTAATAATTGAAATATTGGGTGAATTTTAGTATTAAAAAAGTATTTATGATACTCAGTGAACTAATAACAAAGATAGATATTTTGTAATCGATCTTCTGAAGCGCATAAATACGCTTTACGTATCTGTCGTCACATGTGCCGAATGTATAAAGAATCACGCAAGAACTACTTAAGACAAGAAATTAAAAATTCTCCCAAATTAAATTGTATAAAAATATGAATCATAATAAATAAATAGTAAAGTCCATTTTTCAATCAATTTTGAAAAGATAGCCTTGTTAATAAAATTCAAAATTACACTACAAACATATTTACTGTTAAAAATTAATAAGTTTTTATTAACAATTTTTCACTAATTTTTTTCAAAAACATAGACCTCACATTCTGCAAAAGAAAGTTTGTATAAAAAAAGAAAGCGAATCATTTTTAGATGCTTTTGAATGTGTTAATATTTATTATATACAAGAAAAGTAAAAAAATTGAATTTTACATTGTTTTCTGTTATATGTAGTCATGATATACTGAAGTAATATTTCCACAAATGGTTTTTACATGTAAAAAATAATTCTTGCTTTTCGCGTATTTAATTTACACGATAGCTTCCGATAAACGTGTTAACAATGCACAAATCGAGGATTACCAATAATTCGTTTCCGGCGACAGTGCTATACGAGTCTCGTTATTTTTGTTCTCGCTTTTTCTTCTTTATTCAACGCGATCGTGTATTTGCCCGTGTAACACACGGTTATAACACACACGAACATATTCCGGAAAATAAGGAAGCGCCGTTGGAAACTGCATATGGGTATTCCGTAAATCACTCAAGAAACACAAACTACACCACGGTGAATTTTCGCCGAACAAATATTTTCGGCAGAGATATTACACCGTAGTGATTACAATTTAAAAAATTTTAGTTCGCTAGAAAAAGTGGAATAAACCTTATTGTTTGCAAAATCAAATGTACAATACACTATCAGACAATAAATTCTATTAATTTCTATTAAATTTTATTCTTTCTAAAAGTACCATTACACAATAAAATGATCAAAAGAGCGAGTAAAAAATATGAATTAAATGTGATAAATTTAAAAAAAAAAACAAAATTCGTGGTTAACAGTAGACTGAGTTTTTTTTTAAGTAAAATGTAAAAGTTGATTTTAAAAAAATGTCTATGCGCAAAAAATTCTTTTACACTACTCTGTGTAATTTGTGTTTGCGGTATGACATGAAAGGTAAAGATAGCATTTTAATTACGGTCGTTCAACAAAAGCAAACGAATCGATAAATATTCCCTTTCGAGTCAAATTTGAGTTTCATCGGCCGATAGAGGGCAACTCTTCTTGATTAAAAAAATATTGCGGTTCGTTATAATCGCAATTACATGGAGCATTGTCTCTGGTTCGCGAGAAATCGACGTGCGCGCAAAAAAAGACCGGAGGGCGTAAAAAGCTGCGTGGAAAAAGAAATAAAGGAAACAGCGAGATAGGCGTTCCAATTAACGGTTTTTTACTTTACGCTCCATCCGTATCCAACGTGGCAGTGAGAAATGCACATTTAATAATATAACCGTGACCGATCCTATTTAGCAAAGCAAGCTGATGCCGGCGTGCATTTTTAACGCGATCCGCGAGACTTTCATACATAAGTAAACGGGCCAACAATCACGAACAAAAGCTGAAATTATTATGTCTGAACACTGCTTTATGCATCATGTCGCCATTAATTATGAATTACTATCGCATTATCGTGAATTACTATATGAAGTTGGAGCGCGTATAGTATTGTTGTGATATTCCTACGTTTCTCTAGTCTGACGCGCATGTGCGGATATTAACCTCTTGTGGAGGTATATGCTATTTAAAAAATACTCGTTGTTGCCGCAGAATGTATATATGTGCCGTCTGGAAAGCATTTGTTGCAGCCGCGAGGCATATAAATATAAACACTATCTTAAACTATAAATTTTTACACTCTGCCTCACCGAAATAATTACTTTAACTTTCGTAATTAATCCATGATATCTCAAATTAATTATCCAAGATGAATGTTTCTGGATTTATTAAAAATACTCGAATCTCATCTTTAAAGAAAACTTGTTTCGCTGCAATTTTTTTACGCGAAGATATTAATCGATTAATTATATCGATCCGCGATCACATGCCGAGTGATTTCGATTCTGGGGCAAAGCCGATTGATTCTGGCAGTCTCTCGCACATGACTCTCGCTCGATCTACGCTACTACTGGTCAGCTGAGCAGCTGATTGTAGTAACTGTAATATAGCGTAATAGTTACGCAACAGCTTACGCGCGCCGCGTTCATTCATAAATGAAGCGCGCGTCGAATGTTTAAAACGTTATAATTTGGCGAAAAATTGATGTGCAGCAATATGCAGCAGAAACGAATTTTCTGTATTTCGCATTCCACAAACGGTAAATTATAAAATATAACAGAATTTTCTTACACAACTATAGAATATTTGTTCATTCGTAAATAATATTGATGTATGGCTCGCAAAGTTTGAATTTATTTAGTCTACTAAAAGGAATGATAAATTTAACGAGTTACTGGCTGCAAAGCAAGGCGTGGAAATATGAATGCACAAAACTTAATGACAAACTTCGAGAAGTGGCGTGGCAATTTCCATCTTTTAATACTCGTCTTTTATTTGCACTCGAAAAGGCGCAATTACTTTTTCTAAAATAACACGCAGAACGTTTGAGAAACTGTATTTCTGTTTAATTTATTCATGGAAATGGTTCGATACAGCACCAGAATGAGTGCAGAATGAAACGTAACGGAACGCATAAAATAAAAAAAGCACGTGGCACGTGCGAAAATGTTATGATGACGTATAGCAGAAGGCAGAGCGAAGGAGAAGAGAAAGGAAAGTGCTCGTAAGCGGCAGGCACGGAATTAATAAAAGAGATCAAAGTGATTTTACGTTGTTGTC